TCTATCTATCTATCTATCTATCTATCTATCTATCTATCTATCTATCCGTCTCTGTACTTAAGATTTTTAACATCTCTCTTCTTTCTTTCTGTTATTCTTCAATGCATTGAAGAAATACCTTCTTTTTTTTTTCCTTTTCTATCGTTTTCATGTCAGTCATGTCCTTTTCATTTTCCTCTCTGATCTTTATTGCTCATTACATCCTCCACTATACAGTAGTACCAGATAGCCAGGGTCCAAGTTAGCCAGGCTAAGTATGTGTTGGTCTGTGTGGGTATTTAAAGGTTGGTTGCTGACATCTGGTAAGTACTACACCCTTTGTGCAATGATCTGAAGTGGCTCTCGCCTCAAGGTTACATAGACACAGACACATAAATACTACACTGTATACGACCTGCTTCATGGCTGTGTGCAAAGGTCTGTGTGCGTACCTGTTTGTGCGTAGGATCGAGCCTAGGAGAAGTAAGTGCACTCAAAGCGAGTTTTATATAATTTAGATGACTCACATACACACACAGCATCACTCATCAACACAGAGGATCTTAGCTTTCACCAGCATGTCACTGACAAACTCCCGCGCCACAAAAACACACCTATGCACAAGCACACACACTTCACACCCCATGATCCTTTGCTGTGCTGACTGTGCTCTTGTCTTCCTTTAAGGTCTGGCACACCTGATGATTGGCGACCAAGGTATGGCCTCCTCTTACCTCACTTCCTGTTGTCCTCTGCTATATCATCATCCCTTACCACCTCCCCACACCCCCACACTCAAAACTCCTTGTATACCCCCCCCCCCCCCCACCTCATCAACACCTGGTGCAGAAGGAAGTTGTCTCTCTAGGCACAAAACTAAGGTCAGTTAATTTTTTTCAAATTAAAGGTCTCAAGAAGTCTATGGTCTGCAGATAAAAAAAACACCTTTATTTTCTTAAAAATTTAAGTTATTACATGTGAATTTAACATGAAATTTGGCTTTATAGATAATTTTTGAGCTGTGTAATGAACATGAGAGCAACTTCTGCTTGGGTATACATCATGGCTGCTGATGTGGGTGGTGCTAAAAAGAGGGGTTGATGGCTTCTGCTTGTCGCCACTTGGCTGGAATGGACTTGGCAGCTCCGGGTCATGGTAAAAGGAGCTGAGCGCCATGTGACCGACTGACACCATGAATGGTTTGATTTGGTCTTTTTTCTCTTTCATCTCAAACCATTTTTCCGCATCTGTATGGCAGAGTGTCACTGTGGGAATGCGAGGGTTTGGGGGTAGGAGGGGTGTTTGGAGGGGCATGGCGCGTAGGCATCTCTGTGCTTTGACGTCGGGATGGAGTCGGTGACAGCGGTACTCCTCCCTGCAAAGCTCATCCCCACTCCTCCATGGCTGCTCATCAGCTTCCAGCATGTCTGCCGTCGCTGGTGCTCATGTGGGTTGCTGGTCATACGTTTGCGTGCACACGGGATTCTAAACAGATGTTCCTGCAGCGTATGAAAGCAATGTCGCTATACCTCAATCCCCAAGTAGTCCATTGTTTTTTAAGAAAAAAAAAAGCCCCAAAATAAGCGGTGTCACCAGTCTGCTTTTGGGAAAAAAAAAATGTTAATTGAAAACCAAGCCTCACAGTGCCACTTCTCTCCTCTGAACCCTCTTCTCCCCGGTCCTTCTCTGTCCCTGCCTTCTTTCTTTGTGTTTGGGACACCACCCTCTGTGAATTTAGGAAAGCTCAGAGGTACCCCTCCGACTTATTTACTGTGTTTGGCTACTGGGCTGTTCTGGATGGAGTTGAATGAGTTGGCTAGCTAGAGTTTTTTTTACAGTAATATTAAAGCTGGTCGGCGTCAAACTCTTGAACGCAATAGAATTGGAATGTGTCATTTTTGTTAAGGTAAGGTGCTGCATGTGTATATGTGTGTGTGTGTGTGCGCGTGTGTGTGTGCGGGCCCGCATGCGTCCAGATGAATAGAAGCTCCGGCCAACCATGCTTGTGAAAATCTGAAGGTAGGTGCTGCCCAGTCAGTCGGCTCTGCATGACGCTGATGAATACACTGATTGGCACACATGAGGACAGGCCTGAGCGTGACAGACTATTGTGCGCTTTGATTATGTGATCGGAGACATGATGCCGGCTGTCTCCCATTGTGACGGGGCAGCCATTCATTCGCTAAAATATTCTCTCTAATTGAATTTTCACATAAGCTGGCGAGTGGTCATATGTTGCGGTGAGCCCAAATGATGCCTTCAAATGTCAGCTATGAATTATTTCCGCAAGTTTCTTTCTGTGGGTTTGACTGTTTAATAAGTTCCTATTTCTGGTTTCTGCCGGAAAACGTCTGCCATGATTCATTCAGGTGGCAGAGAAAATTCAATTGCTTCACTGGGCTTATACTCAGAATTTTAAATCACCCACTTAAAATCAGACATGTATTAACGTATGTTTCTGGAAATATTACAGAATGTGTTCAGTGTATTTGTGTTTAATGGCTACCCTCGCCGTAACAGATGTTTGGATAGTGATATGCCGAAAGTATAGCTTTTTTTTTTCAGCCTTTGAAGTCTCTTTCAGTGACTATACACATGAAAAAGCTGTGTTTTTGTGAGTGTGTTTTTGCCCTGCATACTGAGATGTAAAAGCTGTCAAATGGTGCAGACGAAGCCTAGCTTAGGTTAGCTCAGCGTAAAGAGGCTTTTTGAGGATCCTGCAAAGCTGAAATGAGTTTCTTTGAGGGGGCGGATTGGGTGCGGGGAGGGGTGTCGTGGAAAGATATATACCGTGTGTGTATGTGTGTGTGCTTGAGAATTTCAGAAAAGGAGAGAGAATAGCTAAAGAAATGAACGATAGAAGGAGGAGAGGAGGAAAGGGGGAGCTCGAAAGGGATAAAAATGAGTCGTCTTCTCTCCTGTGATGTGGAGCAACTGCCTGTATCTGCAAAGCGACAGTGGTGCTCCCGTCTGCCCCCCCAGCCCAGGCGTTCTCCAGGGGACATCAGCCCTGATGGGGCTCCGTGGACCTTTCCCCTCCTCCATAAATCACGGATATCATTCTCCCTGGAAATGATGCCCACAGATCACTAATCACTTTGAGTGGGTGAAAAAGTAAGAATTGTGGAAGGAAAAAAGAAAAGAGGGAGCCAAATTGGATTTTCATAAGTATTGAGCAACCAAAGGAAGAGGAGGAAATGGATTTTTCAAAGTATTGAGCAGCAATAATCTGGATGAAAAATGTGCTCAAAGCCAAGTAGCAGATTTTGCTCTTTTCTTTTCTCCCTGCTCGGCGGAGAAAAGGACCATGAAGGGTTCTAAGTGACTGAGCAATTGCAGAATTTGAATTGGATTGAGGAGGGCTTGTTGGAGGTACTTGGTTTCCGTGCTTGTTTCTGATGTGTATTCTTTCTGCTCTGAGGCAGGATGTCCACTTAATAATGGTTGTTTGTCTGCATCTCCGAGTGTTCTCGATATCAATCCCACTATCTATGCAGCATTCGGACAAGTGGTCAGCCTCACTTGAAGTGACCTTTAAAGATGGTGTACGTGAATGGACGGACAAACAGACAAACGCTCGCACACAATAACCTTTAGATGGAGAGTGCCCGCTGAGTAGGGGAGTTAGTGTGTTCAGTGTAAATATGCATGAGTAAGACACCCTGCACATATTCTTCACGGTCAGTGGATGACGGCAAGAGAGGCAGCGAGGTGTGTGTGTGTCTTGTGTGAGTGCAGGAGTGCGTATTCAGGGGAGGTGGATTGTGAGTCATCATTTGTGACTCATAAAGCGTCGGCAATCAAAGTGGTTCATTTTAACACATTATCTTATGGCAAAAACACAAGGATGGGCACGCACACCACGCATAAACACACACATGTTCGGTGTCACAGCTTTCATATTTCTCTTAGAATGTTTTTTTTAAAACATTTTTTTGTCCGTCCAACACCCATCGCGCTCTCTTGCACATAGGCAGGATGGAAGTTTTCCCATGAATACACAAAACAGCGCACAGAAACACAGCAGACGAGCTCCATGCTGACTCCACCATATGTGTGGTTGGGAGTGGTAGCAGACGCCAAGACAAAAGGAACCAGTCAGTACCAACAAAGTACAGCGTGTCTCCTACCTCTTACTCATCAGCATGTAACGGTCCAAATAATAAATCACAGAGCGCTGATTTTGAAAGAAATATTCCGGTTTTTATATCAGCCATGCTTTTAGTTTTATTTTATGTTTTGATTCCATGTCGCTGCATTATTTAAAGTGATACTCATTAGAAAATTAATCAGAAAGAATTCTTTTAATACACTCCTCAAAATGGACAGCTTTGGGTAATTGTAATTTCAACATGCAGCGATTGGCCCCACAGCTGTGTCATATATGGCAAAGCAGGAAGTTCTCACATTTCAAAGCCTCCTCATCTTTTAAAAATATTGATTAAATTCTGTTTTAGCCTTCATTCAGCAGTAAACAGCCGTATGACTATGGGTTTGTCTCTCTTCTCTCTCCATGGGCTCATGCTAACATTTTAGTACATGTGAAAGCATCCCACAGAGAGAAATTTCAGAATATACAAGTTGCTCCTTATTAGATCTCAGTTTTGTGCTGAGCATTTTGAACCTTTCAAGTAGAGGAAAGCTAATTAAACACATCCTATATTAAGAAAAAAATCACTCCTTTGCCAAAAGCTCGGCTCTAACTGGTCAGCTTCAAAGGCCCGATCAGGACTTGTCCACCGCTGCAAAATCAGCTCGGAGCAAATTAGAAAATTAATTGTAAATATGTAAATTAACAAATTATTCTTTAATATTTGTGAACAATATTAGTGTTCAGGTAGCACATTGTGCAAAAGTGATCATCTAAAATGATCAGATTAAGGGGAATCTGAACACAAAATATTTTGGTTTGGATTTTTTCTGTCTATTGTTGAAAATGTTATTAAGGTTACTTCACTGGAAAATGGAATTTAATTTTTCTTGGCATGATTTTTATGCTTATGCGGAACATGTCTGTATTTTTCACACTTTCCTTATTAGAGAAAAGTTAAAAAAATGAATCATCCTAAAATATTTAAATATTATTCAAATTTACAATGTGTATTTGGTAGTATAAGCTGTAAGTAAAACTTGCGAATAGCTGTGACAGTTTGTTGTCTGACCCACAGTGAAAGATGTCTTTCGAACATTAGCCGCTGTTGTGTTAATACTTGCATAATTTCACAAGACAAGCAAATGAGCAGCATCCACTTTGAGAGAGAGTCGTTTGGTGTTAAGAGGAAAGTGTTGCTGATTGGCAGCCTGCCTTACTGACTGGCGTGATTTTCTGCTCCTGATGGCCACATCTTGAGCTTTTGAAAAAAACTGTGCCCCCTCTAGCTGTCAGCAGTTTAAAAGCAATTTGCAGCAAAGTTTTGCTGCAAAATGTACAATTTGCAAAGATATAACCCCCTCATCTAATGGGACCAATTCCGCTTCCTATCTCCGCTGCTCATACCCATTACAGCACAACACTCATTAATGACTAACACACATGCAGTTTGTGTAATCAAAGTCAGGACGCCACATACAGAACTCTGCTCCCAGAATCTAGTTGCTATGCACGGTTACAGAATTCAGCCTGGGCGATGTGGTTCAATCCCGCTGGTAAATGTATACTTTTACTGGTAATTGTATGCAATTACCATCCTGTTAGCAAGTGT